GATATATGAAGTATTTTGTGCGTTGTGGGTTTTTTTTTCATGGTTGCATTTTAATCGCAACATGGAGACATTCCCAACAAGGAAAATTAAAAAAAGAATACAAATTAATACAAAAAAGGGAGAAACACTACGGGGATTATCATATGGACTATAGTAATGGTTTAAACGTGTTTTGGCATTAATTTATTAACAAGTAGCTAATGATAAAAAAAATAAATAATTTATTATTATTTATTTTCCAAAATAAATACATAAATAAAAACAATTATATATACGTTGTCTTTCGTGACAATACTAAAATGCATTCTCTTTGTAAATTAACAATAAAAGTTATATTTGCTCAACCTCCCGTCTCGTCTCGCTCAGGGAAACGTTTTGGTTGGCCATCTTCTTTTAACGCCACATGGATTTTGTAAACATTAGCACGTTAGCCGCCATCACTACTGTCCTCCTTTATCTGGTTATAACTATGTCACCGTGTTTGTTTGAAAAAAAAGTATTAATCGCAGCTAATAGTTAAGTTGTCTTAAGTCCTTAAAGCAGCTAGTAGCATGCAGTTTTTACACCGATAAGCCTGAACTTCACTTGATTATGAAGGGACGTTATCTGCTTTCTCTCCACTGTCAGTGATTGTGGTGGCTGCTGAGGGACCAGGATGTCTCTGAGGCTGCTGTCAGTGGATCCATCAGACCGGGGCTCTCAGAGATGCAGACTGGGTCCAGGTTTGATGTCAGCGCTGGGTCTGAGTCTGGGCTCCCCGCTGCTGGTGTCTGTTCCCGGGGGAAGCTGCCTGTGCACCGCCTGGCCCCGGCCCGACCTGGCAGAGGGCTTCTTGCAGATGGACCTGAAATGTTCCTCTCCCAGTCTGATCTCTCAGCCACCCACACATGTCAACCTGGACCCTGGCCAGCTCACACCTGCACCCTGCCCCAAACTCAAAGCTGTTAAAGTAACTGTGGTGGTCCAGAGTGTTGCTTTTAGGAAACACACACCTCCTCGCCTTGTTCATGAGCTTGTGAAAGACATGCTGAAAGGAGTGTATGTCCACAAGAAGCATGTGATCAACCTGGAGGATTTCGATACAGATGTTAGATATGTTGTTATTGAAAGCATCAATCTGGATTCTGCCAGTTCTGGTTTCATCACCTCAAAAACTGGTGTGGAGATAGCTGGCATCCAGACGGTCCAACATTACAGGAGTCAGCTGCAGGACCAGCACACGGTCCCACTGGGAGGTCTGCAGGAGGTCCGCTTATATTCACTGTAATGACATTATTGATATTTATCCAGATTCCCACTATGTGACCTACATTTTTTTTTTTTTGTACTGTTTCTTAGGTGAGTGCCTCCCTGAGAGAGATGCTGCAGCTGCCCCTGCTCTATCCAGGGACCCTGAGCTCTCTTGGTGTGTCCTGTCCCAGAGGTGTGCTCCTGGTGGGGCCTCCAGGTGTTGGCAAGACCCTGCTGGTCCGCAGAGTGGTGGGGGAGGTGGGGGCCACACTGGTGCTGGTCAGAGGGCCGGAGGTAAAAAATAATGTCGATGAAATCCTTGTGTTCACATTACGTTATTATGGTAAACATTTTCATATTGGTAATCACAGTATGTGTAATTCTATTAAGCAACACATGTTGACAGTCCAATATTGACAGAAGTCACAAAAAAGCTCAGATATTTAAGGCTAAAATACATATTTACTGTTATATAACTGTATTATTTGTGATATAACACCAGTCAACACTGCTGTGTTTAATCGTATACTGGCATAACAGCTAATCTTAACTGCCCCATAACAAAATTACAGAGTATTTGATCATTTCCATGAGAATTGCAGCAAATCATGTACATTTGCTTATTTACGGTATTGAATTCTCTCATATTAGTGTTATTTGTTCAAAAAAATTTAATTTAAGTTAAGTTTTGTTTGTGAAAATTATAATAACCAAAACAACCGTCTGTTTTCATCAGTCAATGGTTTTTTATTCATTCAAGGGTCACTGTAACTTATAACAACAATAACAAAAATATTAATAATACCATATACTGTAAAATTAAATTTTTATGATTATCGTAATGTGAAAATGTAAAACCGTTTCAACCCTATTTTCCCTGAAAGCAATCATTAAAAAGTATTCTAAAATAATGCTGCTCCAATGAAAATACTTGAATAAGAATGTGAATGATTATTTCAGGTAGTGGGATCACGGCCCGGTGAGAGTGAGGAGAAGTTGCGCGCTGTGTTTGACCGGGCTCGATCCACTGCCGAAGAGGGTCCGTGTGTGCTGTTTTTCGATGAGCTGGACTCTCTGTGTCCGAAGAGAACCGGGTCATCTGCACCAGAGAACCGCCTGGTTGCTCAGCTTCTCACCCTGATGGACGGGGTGAATCAGTCCGATCGCTTCCTCATCGTCGGAGCCACCAACCGGCCGGACAGCTTAGACCCAGCACTGCGCAGGCCTGGAAGATTTGACAGAGAGGTACGGATGATGAAACATATAACCTAATACATAATAATAAATACAAATATATCTCTAAGGCACTGAATATTTCGACTTTCCTTCAGGTTATCATTGGAGCTCCCACCTTGCAGCAGAGAAAAGACATCTTGTCTGTTCTGTGTGCGAGGATGCCGGTGTGTCCCAGTGTGGACATGGCAGAGCTTGCGCAGAGAACCACAGGCTATGTAGGAGCAGACCTCAGCGCCCTGTGCAGGGAGGCTGCCATGCACGCGATACGGGAGAACTCAAAGGTAATAAAGCAATTAGGCAATGTGTCATATAGGAACAAAATACTAATATTCTATTACTTCCCTCAGACCTACATGCATGTATCAGGATATTTCAAGGTTGCATTGCAGGTCACACAATCTGTCTCGAGGTACTGTGATCTTTTTTCTCTGCTTTACAGATTTGCCTGCTTGTCGTTGTTGTTTGCAGGGTTCAGGAGAGCAGGCGGTGGGCATGAAGCACTTCCAGGAGGCCCTGAAGTCGGTGCGTCCCTCCTGCCTGCGGAGCAGCCTGGGCAGGATGGACCTCTCTCCAATCTCTTGGGAGCAGATTGGAGGCCTGGAAGAGGTCAAACTTAAACTAAGACAGGTAAATAAGTGGCATTGCTTTGTACAACGTAAAAAAAAACGCGTTGTCACCTGAGCTTGTTCACTATTAAAGGCTGATTTTATTTTCCTTACATCTGTCCCCTCCTGTGTCTGAACTGTAAAGAGTATCGAGTGGCCGATGAGATACCCCGAGGCGTTTGTTCGTCTGGGTCTGAATCGGCCCCGTGGCGTGCTGCTCTACGGACCTCCAGGATGTGCTAAGACGACGCTCGTCAAGGCTGCAGCTTCCTCATCTCACTGTGCCTTCTTGTCCGTCAGTGGTGCTGACCTCTACTCTCCCTACGTCGGAGACTCTGAGAAAGCTTTAGCACAGGTACTTTATTTTAACGGTCTGTAAAAACACCAACTGCTGTGTTTGCTTCCTCCTGTCCGTTTCATCCACAAACACCTGCACCTGTCTGTCCACACGTAGCTGTTTCGCCAGGCCCGGGCCTGTGCTCCCTGCATCCTGTTCCTTGATGAGATTGACTCTCTGATTGGCTCGCGGTCAAGCAGTCATGCGACTAACAGCGTACAGACACGCCTCCTGTCTGTGCTCCTGAATGAGATGGATGGGGTTGGCCTGAAGACGCTGGAGAGGAGAGGGACGGAGAAGATCCTCCAGGCAGAGGGAGTGGAGGAGAGTCACACACAGGAACAGGTCAGATATTATGGAGGCCGTCACTCGTCCTTTGGTTGCTTAACACACAAACATCTGATGAGTATGAGGTGACACTTTTTTTGCTCTTTGACAGTTGGACTGCCAGGAAGTATGCAACAAAGATGTGATGGTTATAGCTGCCACAAACAGACCTGATTGCTTAGACAGTGCCCTCCTCAGACCTGGCAGGCTGGACCACATCATCTATGTCCCACCACCTGACCAGCAGGTAAGTTATTTGTCTTAGGAGAATAAAAAAATGTAAGAAATAACCAAGGTTTTTAAAAGTGATGCATTTTTATCAGTGTATCTTTTATTAACTAACCTTCAACTAACCTCATATATATGTGTGTCATTCTGTGTGTCCAGGCTCGTCTTTACATCCTGAAGGTGTGCACAGAGTCGATGCCCGTGGGTGCTGATGTGTGTCTGGAGGAGCTGGCCGCAAAGACAGAGCTTTACTCTGGAGCTGACCTGGAAAATCTGTGCAAAGAGGTAACGTGAAGCACACAGCCAAAGGCCTTATTTTAGTACACATGGCTATTAAAACCTAAAATGTAATCCTGTTCCTAAACGTTGACATAGACAAACAGATGGAGTAGGAAGACATTAGTGTATTCAGTGGCAGACTGCTGTCCCAATCCAGCTCCACCAACAGACTTAAAAACTCTTTCGTCCCCCTGG